GTACCGGTATTTATAATTATATGATTATCACTGACCCAACACAATGCTAAATTTTTCAAAAATAATTGACCCACGATAAAAAAAAGTTGCCGACCACTGGTTTAGACAAACAATGAAATGAAAGAATTGCACATATATATATATACTGAAATAAGGCTGAGAAATATTAGGATTAATAATTAACACAAAAACATTACTTCCTTATAAATTCTTGTAATAAATATACTAAACATGTGATGGATATTTCAAACTTTAGAAATATTACTGGATAAAGTATAAGAACCTTTCAGTTTTTTCATAATGCTATCTTCTAAAACATCAATATTATAAACAAACAAGCTTAACGCTTCTACTCCTTCAAAAACTAATATTAAACTACATTAATTCTCTTCTTATCCATATCATATTTTTTATAAAACTTTATATTGCCAAGTAAGATATTATACTGGGTTGTTTAGTATATATTCACTTTTTTTTTTTTCGTCTGATAAAACACAACTTAGCCACTGGGAAAGGTGTTTCCTTTCAATTTTTGATTTTGTTTTATCACTGTTATTATAGGCCAGGTGTAGCCTAGTGGTTGATGTGCCAAACTGTGAATCAGTATATTGTACAATCAACTGTATCCACTGGGGCAAGCAATGAGAAACCACCTGCACAGGCAATTGGTTGCTAGGTATTTTATTACTGACAAGTTGAGGATGCTACTAGCAACAACGTTATACTTCTCTAACATTAACTGTAACTGTGTCAAATTATTTTGTTTACTAAATGTTAAAAAACAGGCAGACTACATACACTATTTATATGTATAAACCTTCCATGTCATGTTTTCTTTTCAAATATTTTCAGAGGTCAAAACTCATTTAAGTTGCATGTTATAGTGTTTAACCATTTCAGTTAAAAAATGCTTGATTTGGGTAGAAACCCATGTTCCTAACCTCGAGTGCTTGGATCTACAAGGTTTGAAGTACCCCACTGTTGAAGGCCACCCTATACTAAATATGTATTTCATTATTAAATGCTGAAAGCTAGTGTAGCAGTAGAAGACAACAGTCCTACATTTGTGTTAATTATGGACAAATTAACAGCTATCATCAGTTTACGTGATTTATACCTCATTATTAATTTCACTGAGCAAACACCTAGGCACAGTAATTCTAACTACAATGTTGTCAAAACTGTACTGCAGAGGATGGATGGTGTGAAAGTAGCTGGACTGGCCCATGTAATGATTGTCTTTGCAACTAATCAATCAAATTGAAGCTGTGGTCTCACTATTCCACATTTCCTGATACTTAGGATAGGTACGTCATGCAGCTCAAATGGGGTTGCAAAACTCAAATAGCAATGGTGAGTGAAATAATCTTGTTAATCCAAGTTATAGTAACCTTCTGTGCTTAAGATTTTGCTACAGAAATACATTTATCATGGGTGTATTGATACTTCTTAAATGTGTACTAGCACTATTTTTTTTAGTGCCTTCTAAGTTTTACTAGCAAAACTAACTAACACTTTGTTAGTTTGTCAGCATTAACTTTGAACCATGACCACTCAACTATCATTTCCTATGACATACACGCTGGATTCACCAGTTCATCCATCCATCTATTTTCAATTTCAAGGATGGTTAAAACAAAATCAGAGCACCTTTATGTGCTCGAAATTAACCAAATATTACTGGAATGATATTATCTTTCATGGCAACATGCAACATTTTGAACCGCTGATTTCATTATGTGCTGACTATAAACATGCTAAATTAGGGACGGCTACCACGAAATTCAAAAAACAAACAAACAGTACTGAGAAACTGTTACTTTTTTCAATAAATGGTACCACTTTTAATATTTAAAACATTACAGTTTATATCAGCACCATCCAAACATTTTTTCCTGTTCAGTACTTCCCAGAAAAATCCATTTATAGAAAATGTTCAGTTTTTTTCAATGAGGTATGAATACTATGATTAGTAATTACCAACACAAACAGCTGCCCATGGGTGGCATTTCTGTTAGTCAAGATAACTTGCCTACTTATTGTTAACAGTGTTAGGTAATTCAGTCTTTTGCTCATTGTACGTTGTTCCGTGAAAAATGTCATTCGTAGACATTACATCCTTCAACTTGTTACAGTACCTAGTCAATTCACTGACTATGATATACTGCCTAGTGACATTTCTAAATACTGCGTTATTCATCTGGTAACACATGTCACCCAGAGAGTTGATTTTGCCAAATGCTATAAGTCTCACCAAAGTATTATAAATTACCTAATAAAAGTTGGTATTGCTATATATATTTCAGTCTTCTGTTGATTATGATCAATTGAATAATATGAATTTATATCACCAGATATTGTCACCCTCATCTGGATGATATACTGGTAACACATGTCACCCAGAGAGTTGATTTTGCCAAATGCTATAAGTCTCACCAAAGTATTATAAATTACCTAATAAAAGTTGGTATTGCTATATATATTTCAGTCTTCTGTTGATTATGATCAATTGAATAATATGAATTTATATCACCAGATATTGTCACCCTTATCTGGATGATATACTGTTTTTTTTAGAGTTAATACTACAGAGTTAATACAGGCGTTAGCAGGTTATGATACACTGTCTGATTATAGTCGGCACAACTAGATACAGCAGGCGTTAGCAGGTTATGATATATTGTCTGATGAGGGTTAACACTACTAGATACAGCAGGCATTAGCAGGTTATGATACACTGTCTGATTATAGTCGGCACAACTAGATACAGCAGGCATTAGCAGGTTATGATATATTGTCTGATGAGGGTTAACACTACTAGATACAGCAGGCATTAGCAGGTTATGATACACTGTCTGATTATAGTCGGCACAACTAGATACAGCAGGCATTAGCAGGTTATGATATATTGTCTGATAAGGGTTAACACTACTAGATACAGCAGGCATTAGCAGGTTATTATACACTGTCGCCTTCCCTCTAGTCTTACACTGATTTCATTATGTTCAGTTTTATATCTACTGTCATGTGTAAGCGTTTCCGACACTAATGTAACCAATCTGTTCCATCTTATACCAATTCTCATAAGTGAAGGAATGCATTTCTATATTGTCTAACTTTCATAATTGTGAGGAGTTGAATTCCATACAGTTCAATTCATAATACTTATAAAGTGACACTACTTTACACTAACAAATACACATCTCCAAACTGTCGTTCAATTAATAGCATAATTAACCATAGTAATGACTGCATCAACTTTCAGTTGTCATCATCCATTACATTGTACATCTGGATACATTTCCAGGATTAATTCCGAGAAACACTATTTCTAAATTCTCAGGGATTTAACATCACGCCACTCGATACACAATATCTATTTATCCTAGCAGCCATAGCCTCAACTTAACAAAGTGAAACTTCCATCAATACATATGTAATGTGACTGAAACCTCCCTAAAAAAAATTCACTTAACTTTATTAAACTACGACAACATCAAACCAGAAATGTCTTCACTCACATTACCTAGAATAGTATTTAAATTCTAGCTAAATAGTCTTAACTCACATTACCTACAATAGTATTTAAATTCTAGCTAAGAGTCTTAACTCACATTACCTACAATAGTATTTAAATTCTAGCTAAAGAGTCTTAACTCACATTACCTACAATAGTATTTAAATTCTAGCTAAAGAGTCTTAACTCACATTACCTACAATAGTATTTAAATTCTAGCTAAAGA